TAGAGAAACTTCCATCTTAACGATAGACAGAAAAAAAGAATACGTTTTGCAGTCTAGACATGTAATAACGATAATAGAAAAAGAAATATCATCGTCACAATAGTGGTTACAATACGCAGGGGCACTTCCATCTTAATGATACAGGGAAAGAAAAAAAGCACCATCCACCATAATAATGGTAAAAACAAGAGATAAACTTGAAAAACAAATCAGTCTAACAGTCTCAACGTTTGCCTTGTAACAACTGATTTCTTAGAAAAATTGAAAAGCGACAGTGGTTTCTTTGATCAAAATTTAAATAAAAATATTTGTTTATTTATAGAATTACTGCCGACGTTTCTGTGAAATTAAATCGTCATTATCAAGAGTAAGACAGATTACATATATAAATGATATGATAAAATTGGACATAGAATTAGAGTATTAATAAGAATCATACGTAATATTTCTAGACTTGTATGAATATATATAAGCATAGATATTAGAGATGTGCGAGAAGAATGAATAAACTATAGGAAACGGATAGTGATAGGAGAAACAGAAGGATAAAAGTGTGATTTATGTGTATATACAAAAACATATATATATTAATTCGACTTTGGTAGACAATGTTTTGGTACACCATTCGGAAAGATATGCAATGAAACCGAGTATGTTGTTCTATTTACTAACGGTTGATACGCTTTTATTAAAAGGGATTCTTTTATTAATAGTTTATACGATTTGCTTTCAGACAATACTACTTGACTGTTTATCCGATCAATCTGATGATTCAACTCAATTTGATGTCTGGCTATAGCTGATGGTTTTTCTTTCTTTTGTTTTTTTATTCTGTTTCTTCATTATGATTTCATCAATTACGTGCATGTCTTTGTTTGTTTGAATTTTTATTTCTATTTTTGATTCTAGTCGATCGTGTTATTGGATTATCATCTAACTGTATGTTAAATGTTGTATTAATTGTTGTATTATTATTATTATTAACTTTACAATTGTACAGGATTTACTGTTATTTGTATTTATCATGAAGTCATCTGATTAGAGATATCGATTCTTGGTTGATTGGAACATTTTCATATTATTATTTGGGTGATCAACTGTATCATTAACTATTGTGTGACATATTTTGTTAAAACTAGTTGATTGAATAGTTGAATCTTTGCTAAAATATTTAGCAGTTTCACCATTCTGATTCATTTCTTCAATTCTTTTTTTTTGGATCATTGATTGATTTTTTGTTTTAGTTCTTCGATATTTCTTAATAGTTTTTTCTTATTCAATGAGAAATGGGTACATCATTTCATATGTATTTCAAAATTAAATATTTTTCTTATATGTCATTGAAGTTTTCCAGTTTGTTCGGTCAATAGGTTCGTCATCATTTGCAAAACACGTCGTTTCTATTTAGAATTGAAATTGTTCTATCTTAAAGTGGAATGGGTGCAAAATATTAGATTATTTTTTGTTGGGAAAACTAATCATTTTTAGCAGACTCATAATACGAACGTCATTGCCAGGCAAGATGTCTATTCATATGAAAATATAAAAGAAAGAGTTATTCTTATTATTTCTACATATTCAATACTATATATATGACCTGTTGTTGAGATTATTCCGCAATTTGATGTTGTTTTATAAGCTATTGTCGGTATCTTCCACGATTATAATTACAATTACTGCAACAACAGTATTTCTTCGAATTATTCAGTTTACACTGACATCAATACTGTAGTTGTAGTTCTTTTTTATCAGGTTTTTACTATTTTGTTCAGCATTAAGAGGAACTATATCCAACTCAGAGTTGTAAACAGTCGATGAAACTGATATTGTATTTGTACTTTTTTCTAAGTAAATGCGATTTTACACTTGTGTTCTTGAAAGTTTTTGTTTTCAATCGGCTCTTAATCTATTGAGCGACGAGTGTATTGTTCAGTCACAAGAGACCCATGAAAAAAGCAAGTAAACTTAAATTATGAGATGTTGTCTATCGATTTTTTTTCTCTGATATTAATAGGATATATATCTGAATGTACAATTTCTTTTGTGAGATCGTTACACAAATATCGATCTATATTTACAAGAAAACTTAGAGTGAGATTAAAGAAAAAATGTGTGAATGTGTATTTTAAAGTTAATTGTCCCAGATGCTTAATTTTAAGTAGAGAGTTTGTTCTTGATTTAAAAAGAATTTTATATAATATAGTAACATAGTTTTATTTAAAATGAAACAAAATTATATATTTTTACATTTAATGTACTGATGTTTTAGTTGTTGATGAAGATCGTCCTCGATCATTTGTGCAGGATGCTGGCGTATGTATACTTGAATAGATACTGAGTACGACAAAATCATCATCTATCTAAACAGGCGTTTCTATTTTTGAAGTTTTTGAAATGATTATAATCGATACATCATTGTCTTCTTTATTGAATAGTTTTTTTTGATTGTCGAATAATCGTTGATTTACTGATGTTGTATTATCTACATATATACTGATAGCTATATTTAAACGATTATTTTGATTTCTTTGTTGATCCATCAATATATTTGTTGTTTTGTGTCGAGAACATGGAAATAATTTCATAAATTCCCGACGAAAATCTTGTCCGCTTAATGTATATAAAATAAAATTCAATGCATGTTTTGTATACCATAATGCTTCAAGTAAATCAAGAATAAGTAATCTTTTATTCGGAGCTGCTGTCTTTGATGATGTTAAACGATTTAAATATATATAAATCACTGATGGGCATGTTAAAAGCATAAAAGCTAATGAAACAGATAATAACATCATAGTTAAACGATTATTTTGTTGTTGTTCTCTAGATGTTGCACATAACCTATTCGTACGCATAATTGTACAAATTATTCCAATATTTGTAAACATCATAAGACAAAATGGTATAATAGCAACAAAAAGTAAATCAAATATAGGAACATATAAATCGAAAAAGGTTTTAAATGATGGTAGTGGCATACATACGAAACGAGTAATAGTATGAGATGTTTCATTTAAAAAATTATTAGTTATTTGAACAATTGGACTCTCTATTGATATATGAGTTCCTATTAGAAAAATGAGATTTTTTTTATT